GGGGTTCCCTCTTAGACAGTTGTTCCCAGAACCAGTGTCCCTATTGCAAGATTTCTCCTGACTTCTTCTGGGGACAAATTTTGGATTTTCCACCACATTTTTCACAATGGTCACCGGTACTAATAGATGGGTTATTCCCTATTTTTCTCTTTTTCAATGGCTTTTTAAGCCAACATAAGGTCACATTTGGTGTTAAAAGCATTATTATTCTTTGCATTCCTCAATAGGTGTGTAGATAGCTTATAGGAAACATTTATTACCCTTTCAAACTTGCAGAGGAGGGCATTAGTTCAATATTCCTTAATTTAATAGTTCAATAACCAATACAATTAGCAATTACAATAACCTGATATCATACAAAACATGCTATTTTATGTGACCAGTTCATCTTTTAGTTGCCCACTATATATTTCATTTTATAGCTTTATAGCAGTGAATGATTTTATGAACAGTTGTTAAATATATCAGCAAGGTATATATTTGCATACAAGCTAATAAAATGTTATATTGTCCTTCACCACTATTATTAAAAGTCATGGCAAATGTTATAATGCATAGTTGCGTTCTTATTTTAACAAAGTATACAGAAAATGATGTGTTGGATGATTACACACATTAATATTTTCACCAGGGCAATTTTTATTATGATAACACTTGCTGGCCACTCCATAGGACAGAAGGATTAAAGGGCACTGCACTAAGATTCATATAGTATGTTTGCAATGTTTACTTTCCTTTGGACATTTGTAGCTGAGGAAATCAAGGGAACTGTAGGGATAAGGGCTACAGTAAGAAAAACCTGAAACCATCTCTTCTTTCTCTTATTTGTTGGCCTATCCAGCTAAAACGTAGATGTAAATATAAAGCAAACAGCATGCTTCCTCCAACTGCACATTCCAGCAATGAACAAGTTTTAAGTTATTTATTTATTATTACAGGTATTTCTATAGTGCCAACAATTTACGCAGCGCTTTACATAGTAGCACATTCACATCAGTCCCTGCCATCGAGGAACTTACAATCTAAGGTCCCTATCACACATGCATACATACACGACTGATTTTAGACAGGAGCTAATTAACCTTCCAGCTTGTCTATGGAGTGTGGGAGAAAACTGGAGTACCCGGATGAAACGCACGCAAGCACAGATATTGGTATTCAACTTTTCAATCATTTTACCTTCAGCAGTGAAATCTGTAGGTGTTTTTGAGTGATGGCCAAGTTTAGAATAGCTAATTACTCTCTTGCTCAGATATTTTTTTTTTCTTTTTACTGCATTACTATTATGGACTTTTTATAATGACGCCAACTGTGTTCAGTAAAATGTAACAACCCATCTAAAATCAGTTTACATTAACTAGTTTTTCTGAATGGAGGCAGGCTGTAGAACTTGGTCCTTTGTGATATGTTACTATATAAAGCCATATAAAGCATAAAGTGACCATCTTTATTCTAGTTACTATGGTTAAATGCAGGTTACATGTGCTTGATTTTTAAACCATTGCTTGCATGGTGTTCATTGTAATGCCTCTGATTTAGACCATAACTTAGGTTTCTAATATGCTTTCATTGTTGTATTTCAGATTAAATATGACTTTTTGTTTGAGAAACAGTACGTTTGCTGCTTGGAAAAATGGAACCGACATGTTCACCAGAAAATCTACACAACCTTTATACTAGTGATTCTATTTCTCCTCCCATTAACATTGATGCTTCTGCTCTACAGTAAAATTGGCTATGAACTCTGGATTAAAAAACGAGTTGGAGATGCATCAGTGCTTCAAACTATACATGGCAATGAGATGTCTAAAATAGCCAGGTTAGTTTATGTATACTTATTTATGCATCCTTGTGACCAATCATTGTCTTTTAAAGTATATGTAAACCCAGATAGTAAAATTTCATCTCAGGTTAATATGTTAATATTTCAAAGTCATTTTCAATATATTAAATTCTGCATACCTGGTGATTCTTTTGTGAAGGTAATTTTTCAGGCACTTCAGTCCCTGCCTCACAATTCTGGAATTGCATTATTACCATGTCACCTATGCTCACTAACAAGATTAGAAAGTGGCTGTTTAAATACATATTATGAATCCATGGTCCAATGTCATCATCATCATCATCATCCGGAAACCCACCCTAATAAATGCCATGCAGCCATCACAGGAGCAAGTGCATGTTGCTGAAAGAGGCAGAAATGAGGCTGCAGGAGATCAGCAGCACAAAAGATGTAAAAACAGTGAAAATTATATCTTGTTAATGTTTATGATACATAGCTCTTTTGCAAACTGAGTGTCATTGAGTTAGTTACATTCACTGCAGCTAAAAATTGGTAAAGCCTTAGTTGATGACAAGTCATTCATCTGTAGATTATATGCCACAAAAGCTGCATTGCATTGAAATTTGATAATATTGTTGTTTAAAGAACGTGAATCATTAATATGTTCATAGAATATAAAAGATTACAAGCACAATCAAATAGAATTGTTGTGTTGGCCTGCCAATTCTACTATCCATAAGTATACATTCCTATTATAATTGAGATAACAGCTACTTTCTATTTGTGATTGGTAATTTTTGGGCAAAATAAATGCTTTTCTTTCTCAGTTTTGATACCAACATCATTGAGTTTTGTCTAATGCAAAATATAAAATGATAATGTTCTCTGAGGTGATAGAGAAATAAAACATGCTCCCTGTTTTCGAAGCAGAATGTTGACTCTCCCTTGACCTAATCAGGTGATTGAAGGATGTGAAAACGGGGCCTTGGTATGTGATTATATTCGAAAGGCTTTTCATTTTTGTAAAAGTCCATTTCAAATGTGCAGAGATAGGAACATAGGTTTTTTTGTGATTAGTGCGTAACTGTACAAATACAACATACAAATCTTTACTATTCCTAAGTGCCATATGCTTGTCAGTCTCCTGATCACTTTAGAGTATAAATACATTGCTTTAGGCACATACTGGATGATCCATAAAGCTGGCCATGCAAATGGAATTTTCAAGCAATTGCAAACACTTTCAAGCAGCTCTCCATGACACATAAAAAAATAAATTGAACAATTCAATTTAACCCCAATAGTTTATTTTGAAAGGGTGAAACTATTAAAATTTTGGCGGTAGGTTTCCACAATCCATTGTTTTTTCTTTGTGAATAAAAGCTTGCTGAAATTGTTTGAGATTTGCCTTGTATTTTGCCATCAAAGAGTTTTCTTTGAGGCCCCTTTCTCATGGGAAGTCTGCTCAGATTTACCTGGCAGTTTTTCAGGCAGATCTGATTGTAAGCCCAATGTAACACTATGGGCAGCTTATTGTAAATTGTTTATATCCAATTACCTCCAACTCTGTCTAGGCCTATAAAAAGGAACAGAGTTCTGTTTTGGCGTACCTGATCATGACGAATCGGAGGTAATCTGATGTAAACGGGTACATGTCCACTTACACCTGACTCCCCATAGGCCTAACATGGGTCCATGCTCAAAGGTGACATCTGCTCTGTATCGCTCTGATCAGCAGGGAACAGATGGCACCTGTGTGGAAGGGGACTTAACCTCGTATGTAATTTTATGCCTTTAAAGTAAATGGGGAGTGGGGAGGTGTTAAAACCCCTGTCAGTCTATCCGTGTCACTGTTGGGGAGGTTCCCCTTTCTTTGTCCTGGTGACCAGTTGTTATTAGGACAGAAAGTAATGGGAAATCCAAATATTGAAGTTGTCTTTGAAGAAGAGGTGAAGGCAGATCTTCCAGTGAGGACCTGTGACAACTATCTAGAAAGGAATTTCACTTCTCACTTACTGCTTTGTCTCTGTGACAAGAAGTGAAGTTAGATCTCCCGAGACAGCAAAACAACCTGACCAGATTTTCAACTATTTTGTAGGTTATCTAACACTAAGCAGATACTGGCTACTGGCTTTAGATACTTGTGATTTTTGTTTGTTGCCTTTATAACTTTTCTAAAAATTATTAATAAATGCACCAATAATTTCGAATTATTATAATACAAGGTACTCTGCATACAATTCCCTCTTACGGGGTTTCCATGCTAAGATAATCTCTTTTTAACCCCATCATGCCTGCAGGTAATTAAAATCTTTGGGCATAGACCACATTTTGTTGTTTTAGTTTATAACATTTTATAGCATTTTTTTTTATTATAAGCAGACAACTGGTAACCAATGTTAAAAAAGCATTTTTCATCTGTAAAAGGGTTTTACACATGGCTTTCACTGAATGCAAAGCTTGGGGCAGTGTGCAAGTCCTAGTATGCATGTAAACAGTGGGATTTGCGTATATACCTGTACAGCCACGTCTTCAGTTAGGCTGTCAATGATTTCTATAGGCTGGCCGTATGCAGCTATGTGGTGCAGCTGTCACTACCGGCAAGAGATATATGCTGGGATGTGTGTTGTATGGCCCTCTTGTGGCTGTGTACAAAAGTACTAATTCATTGCGTGAAAAACCAATAACATTATTGCTTCTAAAATATTTTTCTTATTTATCCTGGTTATTTTTTTCTGAAATTCTACTAAAATATGGGACACAAATAAAATAATTTAGAGGAAAAAAAGTACAGCATCAGAATTGTTTTTGTGCTGTGCCTCACCCCCTCTGACCTTTTCCTAAACAAGCACACTGAAATGACCCAAGCATTCTTGTTGATGGCCAGAAGTCAGATTGTACTTGCCTCCAATAATGCAATGGAATGGTCTTACGATTTTTCAGATCTTATCAAGTAGTTTGAAATGAGGATTTCCTTGATAAGATAGGAATGGCCTTCATTAAGATCTCTGTGATAAGCCCTTGCCCCCTGCTCTGGCCAACACATGACATTATTAGAAGTCTGTGAATGCTACTCTTTGAGGTCATGGCATATGCTACTCTATGTTTTAACCCCTTAAATGAAAACTATTAATGGTATTTGGTCATCACATCTGGTAATGTGAGAATATTTATTTTGTTTGTAACCAGTAATACCAGGGTTTCATGCTCTGTTCACCAGAATTGTGAGAAATCGATATTAATTACATGAAAAATTAGAGACGAGATGAACATTCTTGGGTTCAGTTTCAGGGAAGCTCGCAGAACTGTTCCTAAGTTCTGAATGTTAATAGGAACACCACTGAAGTCCATAGGACACATTTATATGGACATGTTTCTGGTTGGGTCAGAACAGTACTGATTGTGTTTCTAAGGGCATGTTAAAAATTATTTTAGTGCTGTACTTATTTTGTCTCTCCAGACATATTTTTGGTTGTGTCAGAATGGAGCAGGCTTTGTATTTGTGGGCATGTATTCTTTTTTTGATAATTGATGTTATTTATGTGTTTATTTGCTTTGTGCACACACGTTGTGGAGTCAGCACCCAATGCAGTTGGCGGTGGGGGGCACAAGGCAGCTGGCCTTGGAAGATTGTAGAGAAGGTATTAGAGCATTTGTACCACATACAAGAGTTTCTGCTAGAAAACAATATTTATTATAATCAATAGCTAAAATTGATTTATAAAAGACCAAAAATGTAACACAATCTACTTTATTTTTATGGGTAAGTTAAAAAAAGCATACAGTAAGGGGTAGCGGTGGATGAGGTATGTTAAGAGTCAGACATGGTTTCCCCAGGCTGCTAAAGTGCAAGTTAAATTGATGGCAACACGTCTCACAAAAGTTGGGACAGGGTGTAAGACCATGCCTAACAGCAGAGTTACGACTGCGCATGCGCATAGGCCTGTTCACCACATTTGCGGGAAGCAGCGGCTACTGCGCATGCCGGATCCACCCCGTGTTTCACGTTTCCCTGCTCAAACCGGCTGTGGTGGACCCTTTTCCCAATCGGGATCCTGGGCCCCCGGCCCCTACCATCATTGATGGTGGTGAGGAATACGAGGTTGAGTCCCTCCTTGATTGTCGAAGGAGGGGGGGGGGCGTTTGCAATTCCTTGTCAAATGGAAAGGCTATGGGCCGGAAGAGAACTCCTGGGAGCCGGAGTCTAATTTGCATACCCCATGGCTCACGGCTCACCCCACGGTTGGGCATCCGGAGGCTGCCCGTTAGGGGGGGCACTGTAAGACCATGCCTAACAGCAGAGTTACGACTGCGCATGCGCATAGGCCTGTTCACCACATTTGCGGGAAGCAGCGGCTACTGCGCATGCGCAAACGGCAGCTACTGCGCATGCGCAAACGGCACATGGCGCACAGGAAGTGAGTTTCTCTGTCTGGGAATGATCCTATTTAGCTGGCCCAACTCCCAGGATCTTTGCTGAGTGGTCTTTCAGCTTTAGTGTGTATTCCTGTATCTTGCCTGTTGCCATATCATCATCGACCGGATTCCTTGACCTTGCCTGATTGCTGCCTGCCTCCGACTTCTGCTTGTCCCTGGATTCTCCTTTGCCTTCTCCTTTTGTACCTTGCTGCCCGATTGTTGCTGACCCTGGCTTTCCTGACTCCGCTCTGCTCCAGCCGCATCAGCACCTGCTTCCTGCCTCACTGAAGACGGGCCTCAAGGACCTGCCCAGGCCCAGTGTCCTGCATCGTCCGGCACCGGTGCTGCCCGTAGTTTCCCCACCTCCTGTCTCCACATTCAGGGGTGTGGAACTCGTGCTGCAAAGGAGGCCTCCTCACAACTCGGCTCACCACCAGGTACGTGATACAGGGCCATGTTTACCACAGTGAAGCACCCCCTCTTTTTAAATAACATTTTGTAAATGTCTGGGAACTAAGGAGACCAGTTGCTTGCATTCTGGGAGATGAATGATATCTCATTCTTGCCTGATATAGGATTCTAACTGCTTAACAGTCCTGAGTCTTCTTTGTCGTATTTTTTCCTTTCAAGATGCACCAAATATTTTCAGTTGGTGAAAGGTCTGGACTGCAGGCAGGTCAGTTAAGCACCCGGACTCTTCTACTATGGAGCCATGCTGTTGTCATAGACGCAGTATGCGGTTTAGCATTGTCCTGCTGAAATATGCAAGGCCTTCCCTTACAAAGACATCATCTGGATGGGAGCATATGCTGCTCTAAAACCTGGATATATCTTTCAGCATTGATGGTGCCTTTCCAGATGTGCAACCTACCCATTCCATACACACTAATGCTCCTCCATACAATCAGAGATGCAGGCTTTGAACTGAGTGCTGATAGCAAGCTGGAAGGTCCCTCTCCTCTTTAGTCCGGGGGACGCAGTACCCATGGTTGCCAAAAAGAATGTCAAATTTTGATTTGTCTGACCACAGAACAGTTTTCCACTTTGCAACAGATCATTTTAAAAGAGCTTTGGCCCAGAGAGGAAGGCGGCATGATGGAGCTTTAACTTGCATTTTTGGATGGCATGGCAAACTGTGTTCACAGACAGTGATTTTTGGAAGTATTCATGAGCCCACGCATTGTTCCTTGTTAGTACCACTTACTTTGCCAACTTTTTGTTGCCCTGTCCCAATTTTTTTGAGACATGTTGCTGCCATCGATTTCAAAATTACCTTTTTTTTTCTAAAATGGTACACTCAGTTAAAACCTTTGATATGTTTTTTTTATTTTCTATTGTGAATAAAATATGGGTTTATGAGCTTTGCAAATCGTTGCATTCTGTTTTTATGTAGATATTTTTTGGAATTGGGGTTTATAAATGGATAGCTGATGGAGCTCTGTCCCTTGTTATCTTAAACTGGACACAAAGTGAAGCTGAGTTGTTTGGAAATATGATGGCTGTAAGTGCTTGAGCACAAATGTAAAGGAATACTTAGCTGGGCAATGTACATTTGTTTGATCTGGATTTAATATATAAAAAGTTTGAAAGTTTAAAGGAGAGCTATGAGGTGAGTGACTTTCATTCAACCTCATAGTTCGAGCCGATGTGTGACATTGAAACTGTCACATGTCAGCTCAATAGATCGGTAAGTGAGCAAACGCATACCGTCGCTTGCTCACTTCTCGATCATGTCCCTGCAGAGAGCTGTGACTGTCACTCAGGGACTCCCCCCTCCCTGTCCGATACTCCAGCGCTGACTGGAGGAACAGACGGGGGAGGGGCGGGTACAGCTGGCTCTGCCTCTTGATAGGCAGAGCCAGCTGTCACTCACGCAGCTGGGTGGATCTTAATGTCGGGAAGTAATGTCGGGATCCGTCCCGGCTGCGGTGCTCTCAGTATACCGCGAGCTGTAGCGCGCGATATACTGAGCTTTGGGTCACGGGAGGACGCTAGTATATGTCCTCCCATGATCCTTAGGAGAACTATGTGGAAAAACACCCCATAGTTCTCCTTTTAATATTACTTTAAGAGTGTGTCCATTGGCAACCACTTTTTCAACTTTAAAAGTAATGCTATAATAATATGTGATCCTTATTAATCAGCATTCATTTCCATACCAGGAAGAAGAAGCGAGCAATCATTATGATGATAACAGTGGTTGTGCTTTTTGCAGTCTGCTGGGCACCATTTCATGTTGTGCACATGATGATAGAATACAGTAAGTAACTGCTGTGTCTTTTTGCTTGATTTGTTTTTAAGGATTTTAATCTCCCAAAGTTTGTAAACAACATAATGAGAAGGAGGCATTTCAGGTATTCAGTGGGTTCTGGAAAATAAAATAAAAAAAACATAAATTGTTCACGTATAAGCCCTCCAAAATTAGACACACACAAGACACACACTAGGCGTACATATTGCAGCATTTTTTTGCCATAATTAAAAACCTAATTTAAGGCTCAGTCTGCGTAGTTAACACATCAAGATATGGATGCGGCTAAAGTAACGTTCCTTATCCTTGTGCTAAAGTTTTGTGAATAGTGCCTTTAGTATTCATAAATGGACAAGTTCTGCTGGTTATATTGTGTCATTGAATTGGGTGTACTTTGATTCTTGTCCCATTTTTATCTTTAATATATCCCAGTCCCACTGAGGATTAGTTCAATCCCGTTCTGTGATTTGGCCTGCAGTTCTTCATTGGACACTAGAATTCCATGGAAAATGTGTGCTTTTTAACCACTTACTAAGTTGGGCACTATACCCACAAAATTCCTGAAATGTTAATTCTACCACAGATACGATTGGCCTGTTGTGCACATTGCATAAAAGATACAATATTCTGGGATGTTTTATTGTCAGAAAATGATAATCAGTATAGGTATCAAGGTAAAGCCCTGGTACAAATTTTAGACTGTACTGCTCCTCCTTACTGAACATTTCCCCCTTTCTATCCACCACTTCCCCCACTTTATTAAATTATGAGCTTACCATAATGCAGAACATGCAAAACAAATATCACATGAGCAAGAGGGGATGATGACATGGGAAAGCATCCATGCCTTGACTTTATTTTTCAGCTTGACTCCTGTTTCAGCTTGACTGTTTAGGATGCAGTATTCTTTTTTAAATCCTGTTTTCCTTACTTTCTGTTATAAAATATATCAAAATATAATGCAAGGACAGCAGAAATGACCCCTCTTTGGAAAGTAGACACCCCAAGGTGATTTAATTTTTTGCTACTGTTTTGGAAATGAAGAAACCTGCTGGTACTGAGGTGGTGAAAACATTGAGCTTGGTAATGGTGCAGTAGATAGAGATCATCAGGTCATACACAGATGAAGATGGAGATGAAAGGATCAATATGCAGGATCATGGAGGTGTTTCTTAGTCGTTAACATAAAGTTCAGAGACAGGATGAAGAAAAAATATATATACAGCTCATGCTCAGAGGAGAAGAGGGGTTTAAAGGGTTGAACAAAGATCCCAGAATAACATTTTTAGAGTGATTAAAAGGCACAGAGCCACTTTGACTCTGTGCAGTTTGCCTGTGATCAGAGTTGTCTAATGACAACTTGATCACAGGCATTGTGCATGCTCTGTGGCGTACACAAGTAGTAGACAGGGTGCTGTTTTAAAATTGCACTCTAGAAATAAACATCCACCACTCTGCTATTTATGAATGTATAGCAGGAGTAGAGTGGGTACACTACATTTTTAATCTCAGTGACCTGACACATTTTGAAAAGTTATTCTCTCAGTTCATTAATACTGACCTCTCTGAAGGCACTGCTTATTGAAAAGGGTATATCCAAAAAAGATGGAATGGCAATATAAGAAGAGTGAAGAAATTCCAAGTTAAGGATTTAAAACATTGTGCAGGGTTGACAGCACAATAAATTGGTAAACCTTTCTTTGACCATGTTTTATCTTTTGCACTTCTTTCTAGGCAATTTTGAAAATGAATATGATGATGTCACAATCAAGATAATATTTGCAGTTGTGCAAATAATTGGATTTTTCAACTCAATTTGCAATCCGATTGTATATGCTTTTATGAATGAAAACTTTAAGAAAAACTTCTTGTCTGCCATATGTTTTTGTTTCATAAAAGACTCCTCTACACCCTCAAGGAGACCCGGTAACTCCGTCATTACATTAACTCAGCAAAAATCAAGAGACAATACAACAAGTGAAGAGACCAGGAGGGAAGCTTTTAGTGAAGGGAATATCGAGGTAAAATTTTATGACCAACCAGTTTTTAAAAAGACCACAAAAAGACATCTTCACTTTTTTTCCTCCGAACTCACTGTTCATTCGTGATCATGTAAATGCCCAAAAAGTGATTTGCCATTGTCACCTACAAAGCATACCTTTCCATTTTATAACAAAGCTACACATACCAATCACAGGTACTGCAACTTATAAAATGTATCAGTATATGCATTTGAGACAGATTTGAACCTGAGAGAGTAATTTGCACTCACAGTAAACTTTCTTTTGAGAGCTATCTCACAGCATACCATAGACTCCAGTCAAATACACATCTAATGCAAAGACAGTATCTAAAAACTCAAGTTTTATAACTGTATGACGCTTAAACAAACATCTAAGAGAATGCTGTTAGTGTGTATTTTATATAAGATTGGCTGTATTTTATGAATCCTTTCAAATAAAAGCATCTGAGGTCCAATGTTATAAGATCTGAGGCTAGCAAATGTGCATTTCTTTCAAGTAAAACATACTTTTATCTGATTTAGTCAGAGTGGCTAAAACTGTAAAATTGCATCCTTTTATCACAAGGTATGAATTTTCTTCAAGGGTTTTACTTACACTGTAGTAAAACAGAAAAACGCTTTTTTTCCCCAGAAACTGTAACTGATAGAAACGTATTCTTATTGTGTAACACTGTTATTTACTTGTGGTGCTATTTTTTGGACATCATATGCCCATTATAATCAGAAGGAATGAACTTTTGTCTTAGAAATTAAGACAGAAATGTATGAAAGAAGTAAAATGAATCAGAGCAATTTTTATCAATATCATTTTTTAAAAGTTGTATAGCCATACCATTGCATAAGCATTCTAATGAAAAAAAAAATTAATCTTCTTCAGTAAGGTAGAGCAAAGAGCTGTGTTGGTGTGAAAAGCAGCGAACAATCAGATTTTTTGCATTTGAATGAGTTGTGCATTACAGAATGACATTAAGCTCATTAACTGGTTGTGTGTATCATCATAGGGCAGTTTCTCACACTACATTTAAGCATTCTAGCCCACATTTGACAGCCTGATAACTGACAATGCATTTCTGTTAAAGTGAAAGTCAACTCCTTTTTCTTTCAGTTTTTGACAGTGGAGGAGGATTAGAACTCCTATCAGATTTGATCTGCTATCATGGCTCTTTTAGAGAGATTTACCTTCACTTTCTGTCCTGTTGACAACGGTGAGGGAAGATCTGCAACAGGGACCAAAAAAATGTAAATCTTACCGGGGTGCTAGCCTTCCGTTACTCTACTAAAGACAAGAATGTTTTTTCTGTCTGTGATGCTGTTGGAGATTTCCCCTCACTTCCTGACAGGGCTTCTAACATTGCCAGCAGGACAGGAAGTGAGGATAAATCTCACTAGAATAACCCTAGATAGCAACAAAAACCTGATAGTGCTTCTAACCCTTCCCCGCTGTAAGTAAAAAAAATTTTGGCTGTGGAATATACTTTAAGAAATAAAGGACATGATTTCCTAAGATCTAATTTCTGTCCATTCTTTTATTTATGGTGCGGAAATGACTGTCCCTGATCTTCTAAAAGCAAATACAGCATGTAAGCACATGCACATGGTAATGATACCCAACTCTGGTTTGTATAAATGTAGTAAGTTCAGGGCTACTTGGCCATGGTTGCTGACTTTTTCCATGCAGACATCCCCTTTGTTCATAGGAGCAGAGAAGCAGGGAGTTTAGCATGAATCAAATATTTTTTGCAATGTTTTAATGCAAGTTTGATATTTGGGAATTTGTTTTTTAAATAAATAGAACTGACTTCCCATATTTAATTTTAAAGTGCACCAATGCCCAGACTATGGACATTAAAGTATTTACACATGTTTAACAAGCAGTAAAATTCGACTAAAACAGTGCCAATCAGCATTGAGCTGGCCAAGCAGCATGAAGCCCGCTTCCCGAGCAATCAAGAAGCCGGGTTGCGGGTAATGACATGCCACCCGGATTGCTGATTGCCTGGGAAGCCTACTCCATGCTAGCAGAAGTACCAATTATCAGTGAGTACCGAAAGATAAATATCGATACCGAAAAACCTGTATCGCTACATTAAAAAAATCCCATTACAAGTTAACTAGAAGGTAACAGCAACTTACATTTTCCCACTGAGTGTAGGTAAATTGTACACAACCTCGACAGTTACCATGAAATCTCATCAGGGAATTGCTGGTGTGAAAGAACATAATTCCAGTGATAGGACTAGAAACTTTAATTGAATATAACATTTTTTTAAAGTCAGATTGCTTATTATCAACATGTTGGAAACAAATGTTGAAATACATTTTCTAAAGTTATATCTGAACTCATTGAAAGAAAAAATCTAAATGCCCTTTTTAGTCACTTAAACTTGTGCTCATGGGTTGCTTTAGTCTCGAGTATTCTCTCTTCTTCTGTTTACAGTAGGTAGGGTCCTTCTTTGTCATCAGATCACTAACCATCAATTGGGTGGGTCTAACATCAGGAAGCAAACCCTTCTCCTATACAAATGTAGCTGGCAGGAGTGAACAGTGGTGCAAATATGGAAATCATGTTTTTATTGTTTAATAAATTGTCCACTTTAAAATCAAAAAATCATAAAGCTTATACAAATGTATACTGTAAGTAATTAACACAAACCCAAACCCAATGTATTAAAAAAAATTATTAAAAAAAGCAGAGGTATTGCCTGGGCTTACAGACCAGACAGCTACAGTCGTATTCAGTACTTAATCAAGCAGAGTTAAAATAGAGTATAAAGTACAGGGTACCCTTGATAAAGTCTATTGATCTGAAATGTATTGGGGTGGAGCCTCGTGACTTAACAGAGAGGCAAAGCTTTACTACAGAGCCACAGTGGGATTTACCTCTGGTGCGGAAACTGTAAAACTCTGAAGATGCTAATAGGAGAGTTTGTGCTCATACCTTTCATCAGTTACATTGTGATGTGTTGCGCACAACAAATGAGAGTCTATACTGTATGTGGTATCTTTATCTTTTTAAATAAAAAGCAGTTTTACACTAATATTTAATGAAGTGTTACAGAATGATTTTTTAAAGTGTTTAAAGCCGTTTTCAAGTAATCTTAAATATCTTTATTCTTCTTACCTTCATCTTTTTTACCATTCATTTTCCAAAGTTTTGTATGTTATTTCATAGTGAAAATTTACTCTGCTTTTCCATTTCATATGTCACATTGTTCACCTTTTAGGTTATGTGATGAAGGTATAAATGTACATTTTTCTTCAATGCTTGTAGTAAGTATTTTTATATAACTTTTATCAGATTTTTAATCAGATCTAAATAAAAGAAAGCTTTGTCCAATTTTATTGCATTAAATATGCTTATTGTCAAAACTGTTCTTAAATCAACTCATTGTTTATGATAATTAATGCATTCTTGCACAGCTAAATGTTATTATTGTTATACAAACATGATTACCCAGATGATTTCATCTTGTAAAAATGTTTTTGATAATGAACGATTATGGATAAATAAGTTGGTGAAGCTTTAGCATTTATAAATGCTCGCAAGCCAGGGTATAGTTACAGAGAGTGCAATGGGTAAGTTCACCCAAATGTAAAAAGTGTTACTCTGGCTATCTATAACAAAGTACAGTCTGCAAAGACATCAAAGTACCTGTTATTATCTCTTTTGTAGAAAAAAGCCTCATCTGTACATCTAGGTATGCCAACTAGCATATATTTTTCCTGCCTAGTAAAAAGATTATTTATTGCCAGTCTTATTAATATAAAAAAAATTAATAGAGGATCATAAGGCCAGTATTTTCCATACAATAAGTCAACCTTAGCCCTGTCTGAATTTACTTTTACTTTGCTAAGGGCTTTTGTTTATAACTTGGGTCATACATACCGCCAACTGGACATGAGGGTATTCTCATTGCACAGGGTGTTAAAGGGTGGTGTCTGGTGCTGAAGAAGATGGTTCCTGCTAGATGAAAACTAAACTGCACAGGATGGGGCTCTGCTATAAAGTAATTGTAAATGTAATTAAGGGGAACAAAAAAAAAACATACTCCTTGGGTCGTACTTCTGTTTTACATAATGATCACATAAACCTATATAAAAAATATTTTTATTTAGATTAAAAAAACTATATACTACCCTAAAAAAATACAATCCCCAAACAAGTCACACAAGCTAAAATCAATTAAATTCATGCGAGCCCAGGCTTTAGAGGTGCCAAAACAAATTAATCACGCCACAGTATTATATGTAGATGTATCATGCAATACTACAACTTGCAATACTATAACTTGCTCCGTTATCAAATGGGTTGATAACTAAACCACACATTTCTGGCTGTAAAAGTTCGACTAATGTACCATAGCATGTAGCATATTGTATCTATAGAGCACAATTCTGCAATATGAAATTGTCACAATTGGTGGCTATATCCCATCTTTTTATTATTAAGACCAAGAAAAACAAAAACAAACAACATATATTAACATGTCCAAGTAAGAAAAGTAAAAACAAAAATGTCATCTTAAAGTATACAATTGAACATACACCTATATTCCATATTTGCTGGATAGGTAAATAAAATACAAATTATTTTTACGGCGACTGACCTCTAAAGGAATAAATGCCTTCTTCTATTCATCTATAATTATTGAGAATTCCAAATCACCCAAGCTGCAGACAGAGGTAATTAGTTAACCACATTTTGCTGGTTATATTGGACAATATCATTTCAAAAGGACTTTATCTTGGGACAGTTCCAAAAAGCATGATATAAATCTGCTAATTCCTGCCCACACTTTAGACACCTAGAAAAACAAATATAAAAAACTGTGTTAAATCACATCCAGATAGTCAATCTGTAAAATCAATTTCAGTTCAGTGCAGATGAGTTTTGAGGACATTGGAATTCTGGCAAGATTAACATATAATCTTCTGTACTTGCCGGCAATGCACTTAACCTAAACAAAGAAAGCAAATGCAGTCACCATATTTAGGAACTGTTAAGCTGCAATATATATTATATTTTTGGGTTTATATATACTTTGGGCCACAAATAGGCCCCTAATCTATTCATACAGAGAACATAACTTTCCTTATGCC